GGATCAACACACGGTCCAACTCATACAAAGCAAGCATTCGTTCACGGACGTTGTCTCGAGGTTATACCTTCGAAGCATGCGTTATCGGAGGGGTTCAAGTTCGATGCGGTGTAGAGGAAGTAGACGTTCTCGGGACGTTGAGGGAAGTAGTGGTACTTCTCCGAAGAGGAACTTGATGAACCCAACATCTCCAAGGCGACGGTAGCCGTACACGGCAACGGTAACTTGGAGGGTCATCCAATACGTGGTACTTAGGTGAATCCACGAGAAAGGGTAGTCGTACATGGTTCATCGAGGAACTTGACGTTTCGTCTGTAGTCGTTCGAGCGTCCGACGGTAATGGTACTCGGTCATTTCAAAGAGGTACTTGGGGTGATTCGACATTGCCGGTCCCGTCATCTCGAAGGGGTACTTGACATCCTTAGCGATTCCAAAGACGACGGTAGAGGTACACTTGTTGTAGGGGTACTTGTCGGATCCACGGCGACGGTAGAGGTACAAACGTTCTGGCGGTACTTGACGGTCCGGTCTTGGTGTAGATTTACATGGCAAACGTAGGAATACTCGACATCTTGTCGAACCTAAGTGACAGTAAACATTCTCGCGGACGAAACCGGGAGGCGAAGGCAAGGCAACGCGGCGGCGGCGTGTGCTCACCGGTGAAGCAGCAGCAGAAGACGAAGGTGGACGGCATCGGCCTTGGCGCGGAACGAGGGGGGCGGAGCTCCTGCTTGAGCAGAGGGCTCGGGCGCGGGACTTGAGGCACTGGAGGCGATGGGGCTAGGCGGGCCGGAGCAGAGCCAGGAGGAGGAGGTCGCGGGCGACGAAGCAGCTCGAGGAAATGGGCTCACTGGCCAGAACGGGGCACCACGGCAGAGGAAAAGGGGTCGCTGGTGGCGCTGTTAGTGCAGCTCTGCTGGAGGCGCGGGCGCCATGGCAGGGAGGCGACGGAGGGGCGACGGAGGAGTTTGCTGGGGCGCGACCTCCAGGGAAGCAGCGCCGCTGCGGGTGCTGTGCGTGCGTGAATGGTGGCGGCGGAGGAGTTGCACGATGGTGGCGGTGCAGGCTGACATTGCAGAGGCAAGGGAAGGAGCGAGGAGGCGTGGCCATGGGGATCGGGATCGTGATCCCTCTCTCTGTTGCGAGCGTGTGAGGAGGAGGGAATCGAGGAGAGAAGTGGGATCGGGCTCGGTCCTCCCTGGCGGCGCAAGGGGAAAGCGAGGGGGAGAGACCAGGGGGTCGGGAGGGGGTGTTCTGGGCTAGGGTTAGGATTAGATGGGCCGGCGCGGGAGGCCCAGTTGGGAGGAGGTCTAACAGGCCGGTGGGGATGGAGAGGCCCAGGTGGGCTGACCTCCCTCTCTCTCCCTTTCTCTAAATTCTCTTTTTCCATTTAAAAACAAAACAGAAAAAGAGAAAGAAAAGAAAGAGAAGTTAGGGATGGAATCTGGGCATGAGGATAATTTTCTTGAGGTCGCAAAAATGTGTTTGTACCGAGAAAAATAGAAAAGGCCAAGATTGAGATATTTAAATTCAAACTCATTTGATTTAAATTCAAATGATTTGAATAGGAAGTGAGGGTTGGGAAGGTCCAAAATGTTCGGATTTTTGGTGGAGCTCCGAAATATGATGAATGAATTTATGGACAAAGTTTGAGGTTAAGATGTGTGGTAACAAAGGCCTGGGGAATTACTTGCAAGTGTGTTTTGGTGATTCCAAATTAATGAAATATTTATAATAACTCCCTAAATATTAGGAGGATATGTTATAAAGAGAAGTCACTCTTCCCTCGATTTAAATGGATCGAAGATCCACACAATTTATTTAGTTGAGATGCAGAAGATTTATGAGATGATGGCATGATGACATGATGCAATGATGAATGCAATGAACCAAATAAATCACACGACGAAACCGGGAAACCCTGGAAGGCATCTGAAGCTCCGGTCTTGGGGCGTCACAGCAGGCCTGGAGTAAACTTTATCCTCCTCCAACGGTTTTAAGAGATCAGTTAAGTGCTGTTTGGAGGAGTAAAATTCTCTACCGCTTTTTAGGGGATCGGTAAGAGATGCTCTAAAGTGGGATATCTATGTTTGCTGGTCGTGTATTGCCGCCATTTATGTGAATCTCTCTCAGCCCAATAGTATGGATAATCAAATTAAAGATGTCCATAGCATGGGAACGTTGAAGCTTCTTGTTTTTCTCCCCACCAGGAGCTCATCTTTGAATTCCTCATGTGCAGCCCCATAGACAAACAATAGGCCCCACTTAGTTTTTCTTTCACCACATCCCATAGAAGTAATTGCATGATAGTATATGCCATGCTCACCGGAGATAATCTCCAACCTCTCTTTTCCACACCACATAAAAGCCCTCCGGCTTTTCCCACAGAAGGAATCACTTCCAACAAAACAACTCATAAGGATCCAATTTTCTAAAGAAACCAGCAGAAGATTTCTTTTTCATAGTTTCCTGAAGCACAAGGAAATCAAGGGAATGACCTTCTATTAAACAAGAGAGGCAGGAAGCCGCCCCCCTCCCGTCTTTCAATTCTGTAATCACATTCATTTATATCTATGAGGGTTTCCCACCCTGGTAGACAGAGGATGGGCAGAACTAGCAGCATTATTAAGGGTTGGAGTACTGCTCACGGGTCTAGACACAACCACATTAACTTTCCTAGTTCTTTTCTTCTTGGACATAACACTTGTAAAAAGAATCCTCATTAATAGAGGCAATAAACCTCTGGTCTATCTCAATGGGGGTGCCCACCCCTTTCTGATTAGTTATGTATAAACTATAAAGTACTATTAACATTAGCATCAGCATCAGCAACAACAGGAATATCAATATCATTATTCATCCTGGTTTTCTCAAATTCCCTAATAATTTCCACACAAGTAAAATCATCATCAGGAATAATCACAACCAACTTAGCAGCTCTAAGCATCAATTGTTTATTGGATAAGGCATCAAAAGAATTGGATTTAGGGTTAATAGGAGTACCATCCAGGTTCCTCTTCCTTGTCAATGCAGCAGCTCTAGTTCCCACGTTCTCCATGTTATTCTGCACACATCTCTTCAGGGAATAAAGGTAGAGTGGGAATCACCACTTCTCAGAAGAACTGCTAGGAGATTGGAGCATACATGCCGCATCAGATTGCAGTCCACTATCATCATTATCCTGGGGACAGTTGGTGACCACATCCACAAAAGATCCACTTCTCTAACAGCAATATTGCTGGAGACAGTCAGTGACCATAGCCAGGTCTTATGTATAGTACGTATCATTCATTGTGAATTATTTTCTTCTGAAACAAAATCTAGTAGGCACTGGTTTACAATCGAAGTGTTAAAGAAACCAATTATATGTATATGCTTATGCCACCTTTGGTTTCTGTAATAACAGAATCATGCACATGTTGATTTATTCAAGATTCCTCGTTTCTCTAAAAAATAAATAAAGAACAGGTTCAGGTCCAAACAAAGAATCCCATGAAATTAAAAAAAAAATTGTATACTAAACTGTTGTAACAACATGGAGGATCCTGCATGTGAAGTAATGTGGTTCAGGAGATCACACATGATAGGAGACGTCTGAACAATTAAGCTTTATATATGCATCCTGGTCTGAAGTAACGAATGTAGTTTCTAGAATCAATTCTATCAGCAACTGTATATACAACTGCAACAATTGGTGTATATACAGCTGTAACAACTGGGTACAGGAGGCCACATATGTGAATCGGCGTTATTCATCTCCAGGTGTCAGTTCAACGCTCTAAGTAGCCTCAAGACCAGAATAACGCACCTCCTCACCATGAACAGGTCATGAATAAGAACAGAAGCTAGCCCCCGTCAGGTTGAACAGAAGTGAGCAGCGATGAGAATTCACATAAGAAACTCCCCCATGACCGGTAGACATAGTCATCATGGAGCGCTGTTGGGGTGCAGTCTGAAACACCAGATACTCAAGGAGGATTTGGAAGAAATTATCCTCCACAGCATCGAGTTTGCATGATGTGGAATGTTTGTTTCCCAAAAGAACAGCATTTGCACACAAGCATAAGAATCCTTTTGGAAATCAGCAGCCTTGCAAGAAAACAATGAGATAAATGAGAATTTTTTAATAAAGTCTTCATCTTCAATGAGAAGGTGAGACAAATTAGTGCAGCTACATTGAACATTGCTGTGTTGCATCTTTTATTACCACTCCAAGGTCGCTTCTTAATATGACAAGGCACACATAACTTTTCGCAGCACACATAATATTAAGCTACAGACTGCACTTCTTGGGATACTTCTGCCATCCAAATTCAATACAGAAAGCATCACCGTCTCCACGGCCAAATTTGTGTGTGAGCAGCTTTAAGACTCTAAAAGTACATAGAACTATAGGAATCTTGCACCTGATGTTACATGCTTACTGAGGACTACTAGAAATTTCTGACTACCCTTTGTTTCAAACTAAATTTCCTAATCCTCTTTACTTCAATTTTCATATACAACCCAAAATAAAATGAAACTAGTCCTAGAAGTACATGAAATTCACTTTTTGTTAGCTTGCGCCTTTCCTCTCCAGTATTCGCAAATTAAAAGCAGCTATAAATTTTTGCATGAAGTTCATCCCTTTAAGTAGAGAATTCACCGAAACATGCAAAGAGCTAGAAGAAACATACTGACTTCTTCTGCAAAGATTTTCAGATGCAAATGTGCAAATCCATATCATTCCTGAAATGCAATACAAAGCAATGGGTGCCGAGAAGTTCCAAGTGATTCATCTGCAAATAAGATTTAACAGTTATGCCTGGCTCGATAAGAAAAAGAGCAGGACAAATGAAATATCATCAAAACAGATTGCAAGGAGTGGTTATGGACAGTGATGTTGGTCTACTGCACCTTAGCAAAGATGAGCCTGTTGTGAGCCTTCATTGCAGGAGGAGGGCATCATTCATGTACCAAATAGCACCTAGATACCAAATCACAACTCACACATTGATAACTCAGGCATGAATTGCAGGCTCTCTGGTACGATTAGAACCACAATCCAACTGAACATTTCTGATGTGACATTTGTTCATCAACTGTCCTGCCTCACTGAATCGACCCATTTTAGTAAGTGCAGAAACAATTGGCCAGTATGAGTGATGATGATCGGTCACAGTACAGCAACTAGACTCTGTTGCAGCTAGAATTTCTTTGGCATCATCAACTCTTCTTTCATCACACAGAGCTTTAATCAGGATGTTGCATGTGTAACCGTCTGGAACAACACCTAATCTCAGCATGGCATTAAAAATACTACGAGCTTTATCTACTTTCTTCATTCTGCAAAAACTCAAAATGGGAGCATTGAAGGAATATGCATCGGGAGTAATGCCGTCTATTTTCATTTTATTAAGAAGATCAATGGCCTTGTTAACGTGCCCTACTGAACAAAGCGCACGCATTAGTACATTGTAAGTATGAGCATTTGGTCTAACACCCCACTCTGCCATCTCACTGAAGCAATCAAACGCATCATCCATTTGATGGGCATGGCATAGCCCGTCAATGAGGGAGGTAAAAGTAATGATATCTGGCATGAAACCATGTTCCATAAGCATCTTAAGAACGGCCTTTGCATTATGTACATCCCCTAACTTTGAGTAACCACTTATCAGTATATTAAAGGTAACAAGGTTTGGAAGGAAACCTTTCTCTCGCATCTGTTTTATAATCTCCACTGCCCTATCCACTGCACCTTCCTTGACAAAGCAATCTATCACCATGTTATAAGATGCCACACTAGACAAGAGCCCATCCAAAACCATGCGCTCTAAATAGTGGTTTGCCTTTGAAGAACTTCTGCAGTCCAGTAAGGATTTGATGATCATAATATAGACATGAAATCCAGGATTCCCGCCTTTCTTTACGAAATCATCAACCAACTCACACAAATCACTCAACTCCAGGCACTTCACAGCACAAGAGACCACAATGCCAAACATTGCATTGTCAAGGAGAAGACCCCTAGTTTTCATCTTCTTCACGACCTCAACTACCTCTTTGGCCATCCCATTCTTTGATAAGCAATACAGCATAGTATGCCACGCACTTGGGTGCAGTGGAGGCTGACGTCCTATCCACTCACTAAGCATCTCATACGCCTTGTGGCTCCCCAAGCACCGGAATGCACCATGAACCAAAGTCCTGTACGAGGCCTCGTTCGGTGATACACCCTTATCCTTCATCGTATTGAACACATGAAGTGCGTCCTCTGGCCTGCCAGCATTGCAGAACCCATCAACCAACATCGTGTAAGTGAACACATTCGGCTTGATCCCGACGCCCTCCATCTGCCTCACCAGCCGGAGCGCCTCATCGACGATCCCACTACGACAGACCCCGTGAACGAGTGTGTTGTAGGTGAAGCAGTCCGGCTGGCACCCGTCCGCAGGCATCTGCTGGAACCTGAGGTACGCCGTGTCGACGGCCCCAGCCCTCACGGACGCCGCGATCAGGGCGTTGTACACCGCGGTGCTGGGCCTCAGCCCGAGGCGCGGCATTTGCACGAACACCTCGTGCGCGTACTGCGCGAGGCCCAGCCTGCCCCAGCTGGCGATCATGGAGCAGAGCAGCTCCTCGGAGACCTCGCACCCGCAGCCCCTGACCTCCGCCACCAGCGCCGCGGACAGCACCAGCGGCCCGCGCCGCCACAGCGCGTCCTCCAGGGCCCGCCGCACCGAGGCGTCGCGCGCGAAGTGGGTCCCGAACCGCGACGCCCAAACGTAGAGGCGGACGCAGAGGCGGGGCTCGAGGGGCACGGCGGCGTGCAGCACGCGGACCACGAAGCGCGGGCCCAGGCGCGGCAGCGCGGCGGCGAACTCCGAGTTGAGCCGCGCGAACCAGTCCTTCTCGGCCAGGATCGACGCCGCGCGGGCCGGGTCGGCGGGTTCGGACGGACTCCGGCCGGAGTTGGTGGAAAGGTTGGATCTCGGCGGATTACGGGCCGAGAGATTGGCGCGGCAGCGCAGGAGGAGATCGGGGCGCCTCCTGCCTGCCATCGCCATCCGCTTCGACCGGGAGGCGGAAGAAATTCAGACAAAATGTTTTGGGGAGCGGCGCGGTGTCTCTCCTGTCTCGTGGAGAGGTTTGCAGGGTTTTAGTGGAGAGTTGTCAGCTAACCATTCTAAAATCACTTCAAGAATGAAAATTCAACTTCAATTCAAGTTTTCCAAATTTGGGAAGGGAAGTTTAAAATCCGGGTCTATGATTTGTTTTTGTTTTTTTGGATTTCGTTGCAAATCAAGTGTCGGGTTTATGAGCATGGCAAATCCAACACTCAAATAGCAAATTATGTTGTCACGAGGATGGTAGTTTCTTTTAGCAAGCATGACAAATTCATGTCATTTTCAATTTTTTGCCAGGAATGCCATGCTTGCTACAGAAAATTGTCATCCTCGCGATAACATATAACAACACCAACAAAGTTTTTCATGTATCTCTTTACAAACTCCTTTGATGTTAGGTTAGTCTACCTCGACCTTTCTTGACGTTATCAATGTGTCTTAACACCCTCTATGCATTGGTGTTTCTGAAGACATGCGCTGAAGCACAAACTATTTTAGATGATGTTGGACAAGCTTCTCCGTAACCGGCGTCACTCAGCTCTCTCGCGTATATCATCATTTTGGGCCCGATCCTTTCTTGTGTGGCCACATATCCATCTCAACATGCACATCTCTACTACACCTGGCTATTAGACATGTCGCCATTTAGCTGGCCAACATTTAATGCCATATAACATCGCAGGTCAAACATCGTCCTATAGAATTTATCTCTTAGCTTTTGTGGAACTCTCTTATCACAAAGAAGGCCAGAAGCTTGGCGCCACTTGATCCATTCAAGTTTCGGTTCGATGAGTCACATCTTCATCAATATCACCATTCTTCTGCAGCATCGACCTAGATACAAAAAGGTGTCCTTCTGAGGTACCACCTACCCATCAAAGCTAGCTTCCTTCTCCTCGCGCCTAATAGTACTGAAAACACACCTCATGTACTCAGTCTTATTTCTACTAAGGCTAAAACATTTCGATTCTAAAGCCTGTCTCCATAGCTCCAATTCTATCAATTCTATTAACCCCCGTCCGACTATTATCGACTAGCAACACATCATCCGCAAGGAGCATACTGTTGGGTTTCTTAGTAATTTCAAAAAATTTCCTACGCACACGCAAGATCATGGTGATGCATAGCAACGAGATGGGAGAGTGTTGTCTACGTACCCACGCAGACCGACTGCGGAAGCGTTGACGCAACATAGAGGAAGTAGTCGTACGTCTTCCCGATCCGACCGATCCAAGCACCGTTACTCCGGCACCTCCGAGTTCTTAGCACACGTACAGCTCGATGATGATCCCCGGGCTCCGATCCAGCAAAGCGTCGGGGAGGAGTTCCGTCAGCACGACGGCGTGGTGACGATCTTGATGTTCTACCGACGCAGGGCTTCGCCTAAGCACTACAACGATATAATCGAGATGGAATATGGTGGCAGGGGGCACCGCACACGGCTAAGGAACGATCTCAATGATCAACTTGTGTGTCTAGATGTGCCCCCTGTTGGGGAACGTAGCAGAAATTCAAAAAATTTCCTACGTATCACCAAGATCTATCTATGGAGAGACCAGCAACGAGTAGAAGGAGAGTGCATCTACATACCCTTGTAGATCGCTAAGCGGAAGCGTTCAAGTGAACGGGGTTGATGGAGTCGTACTCGTCGTGATTCAAATCACCGATGATCAAGTGCCGAACGGACGGCACCTCCGCGTTCAACACACGTACAGCCCGGTGACGTCTCCCACGCCTTGATCCAGCAAGGAGAGAGGGAGAGGTTGAGGAAGACTTCATCCAGCAGCAGCACAACAGCGTGGTGGTGGTGGAGGAGCGTGGCAATCCCGCAGGGCTTCGCCAAGCACCATGGGAGAAGAGGAGGAGGGAGAGGGGCAGGGCTGCACCAACGAGAGATCAAATCGCGTGTTATGGGCAGCCCCTAGGCCTCATATATATAGGGGAAGGGGAGGGCTGCGCCCCCTTTAGGGTTTCCCACTCCAAGGGGCGGCGGCCAGCCTCCAGATGGCATCTGGTGCGGCGGCCAAGAAGGGGGGAGGAGTCCATCCTCCCCAAGGCACCTCGGAGGTGCCTTCCCCCTTGAGGACTCTTCCCTCTAGGGTTCCCTAGGCGCATGGGCCTCTTGGGGCTGGTGCCCTTGGCCCATGTAGGCCAAGGCGCACCCCCTACAGCCCATGTGGCCCCCCGGGGCAGGTGGCCCCACCCGGTGGGCCCCCGGGACCCTTCCGGTGGTCCCGGTACAATACCGATGACCCCGAAACTTGTCCCGATGGCCGAAACAGGACTTCCTATATATAAATCTTTACCTCCGGACCATTCCGGAACTCCTCGTGACGTCCGGGATCTCATCCGGAACTTCGAACAACATTCGGTAACCACATACAAGCTTCCTTTATAACCCTAGCGTCATCGAACCTTAAGTGTGTAGACCCTACGGGTTCGGGAGACATGCAGACATGACCGAGACGTTCTCCGGTCAATAACCAACAGCGGGATCTGGATACCCATGTTGGCTCCCACATGTTCCACGATGATCTCATCGGATGAACCACGATGTCAAGGACTCAATCGATCCCGTATACAATTCCCTTTGTCTATCGGTATGTTACTTGCCCGAGATTCGATCGTCGGTATACCGATACCTTGTTCAATCTCGTTACCGGCAAGTCACTTTACTCGTTCCGTAACACATCATCCCGTGATCAACTCCTTGGTCACATTGCGCATATGATGATGTCCTACCGAGTGGGCCCAGAGATACCTCTCCGTTTACACGGAGTGACAAATCCCAGTCTCGATCCGCATAAAACAATAGATACTTTCGGAGATACCTGTAGTGCACCTTTATAGTCACCCAGTTACGTTGTGACGTTTGATACACCCAAAGCACTCCTACGGTATCCAGGAGTTACACGATCTCATGGTCAAAGGAAGATATACTTGACATTGGCAAAGCTCTAGCAAATGAACTACACGATCTTTTGTGCTAGTCTTAGGATTGGCTCTTGTCCATCACATCATTCTCCTAATGATGTGATCCCGTTATCAACGACATCCAATGTCCATAGCCAGGAAACCATGACTATCTGTTGATCACAATGAGCTAGTCAACTAGAGGCTCACTAGGGACATATTGTGGTCTATGTATTCACACGTGTATTACGATTTCCGGATAATACAGTTATAGCATGAATAAAAGACTATTATCATGAACAAAGAAATATAATAATAACTTATTTATTATTGCCTCTAGGGCATATTTCCAACAGTCTCCCACTTGCACTAGAGTCAATAATCTAGTTCACATCGCCATGTGATTAACACTCACAGGTCACATCACCATGTGACTAATACCCAAGAGTTTACTAGAGTCAGTAGTCTAGTTCGCATCACTATGTGATTAACACTCAATGAGTTTTATGTTTGATCATGTTGCTTGTGAGAGAGGTTTTAGTCAACTTGTCTGAACCTTTCAGATCCGTGTGTGCTTTACAAATCTCTATGTCATCTCCTAGATGCAGCTACCACGCTCTATTTGGAGCTATTCCAAACAACTGTTCTACTTGGAGCTATTCTAAATTATTGCTCCATTATATGTATCCGGTCTCTCTACTCAGAGCTATCCGGATAGGTGTCAAGCTTGCATCGTCGTAACCTTTACGACGAACTCTTTTACCACCTCCATAATCGAGAAAAATTCCTTAGTCCACTAGTTACTAAGGATAACTTTGACCGCTGTCCTGTGAGCCATTCTTGGATCACTCTTGTACCCCTTGACTGACTCATGGCAAGGCATACTTCAGGTGCGGTACACAGCATAGCATACTGAAGAGCCTACGTCTTAAGCATAGGGGACGACCTTCGTCCTTTCTCTCTATTCTGCCGTGGTCGAGCTTTAAGTCTTAACTTCGTACCTTACAATTCAGGCAAGAACTTCTTCTTTGACTGGTCCATCTTGAACACCTTCAAGATCATGTTAAGGTATGTGCTCATTTGAAAGTATTATTAAGCATTTTGATCTATCCTTATAGATCTTGATGCTCAATGTTCAAGTAGCTTAATCCAGGCTTTCCATTGAAAAACACTTTCAAAATAACCCTATATGCTTTCCAGAAATTCTACGTCATTTCTGATCAACAATATGTCAACAACATATACTCATCAGAAATTTTATAGTGCTCCCACTCACTTCTTTGGAAATACAAGTTTCTCATAAACTTTGTACAAACCCAAAATCTTTGATCATCATCAAAGCATACATTCCAACTCCGAGATGCTCACTCCAGTCCTTAGAAGGATTGCTGGAGCTTTGCATACTTATTAGCATCTTTCGGGATTGACAAAACCTTCCGGTTGTATCACATACAACCTGTCCTCAAGAAAATCGTCGAGGAAACAATGTTTTGACATCCTATCTGCAAGATTTCATAAATAATGCAGTAATCACTAATATAATTCCAACAGATTCTTAGCATCGCTACGAGTGAGAAAATCTCATCGTAGTCAACTCCTTGAACTTGTCGGAAAACATCTTAACGACAAGTCGAGCTTTCTTAATGGTGATATTTACCATCATCGTCCGTCTTCCTTTAAAATCCATCTGTACTCAACAGCCTTATGACCATCAAGTAGTTCTTCCAAAGTCTATACTTTGTTTTTATACATGGATCCTATCTCGGATTTCATGGCTTCTAACCATTTGTCGGAATTTGGGCCCACCATCGCTTCTCCATAGCTTGTAGGTTCATTGTTGTCCAGCAACATGATTTCCAAGACAGGATTACGTACCACTCTGAAGTAGTACGCATCCTTGTCATCCCACGAGGTTTGGTAGTGATTTGATCCGAAACTTCATGATCAATATCATAAGCTTCCACTTCAATTGGTGTAGGTGCCACGGGAACAACTTCCTGTGCCCTGCTACACACTGGTTGAAGTGA